GACAGGGAAACACAGTGGCCCTGAAGGACGGAACAGTGCCAAAATCGAAACCAAAAACTGCCTAAAGTTCCTTCTGAAACCCTAGAAAAACAATAGTTTTCGACCAGTTTTTGTACCGCTGTTTGCACAATGAGACATAGTGAGACATAGAACCCTCCTGCTGCTCCTGTTTCTGCTGCTGCTCTTCCTCCCGAAGCTGAAAAAGCACGCTGCCGGACAGGGAAACACAGTGGCCCCCGCCAAAATCGAGCCCAAAAACTGCCTAACGTCCCTTCTGAAACCCTAGAAAAACAATAGTTTTCGACCATTTTTTGTACCGCTGTTTGTACAATGAGACATAGTGAGACATAGACCCCTCCTGCTGCTCCTGTTGCTGCTGCTGCTCTTCCTCCCGAAGCTGAAAACGCACGCTGCCGGACAGGGAAACACAGTGGCCCTGAAGGACGGAACAGCGCCAAAATCGAGCCCCAAAAACTGCCTAACGTCCCTTCTGAGACCCTAGAAAAACAATAGTTTTCGACCATTTTTGGTACCGCTGTTTGCACAATGAGACATAGTGAGACATAGAACCCTCCTGCTGCTCCTGTTGCTGCTGCTGCTCTTCCTCCCGAAGCTGAGAACGCACGCTGCCGGACAGGGAAACACAGTGGCCCTGAAGGACGGAACGGCGCCAACATCGAGCCCCAAAACTGCCTAACGTCCCTTCTGAAACCCTAGAAAAACAATAGTTTTCGACCAGTTTTTGGTACCGCTGTTTGTACAATGAGATATAGTGAGACATAGAACCCTCCTGCTGCTCCTGTTGCTGCTGCTGCTCTTCCTCCCGAAGCTGAAAACGCACGCTGCCGGACAGGGAAACACAAGAACAAACGCCCCCAATTCGAACCACGGCCCCGGGAAAAGCAGGACGAGCCAGTCCCAGAAAGCGGGTAAAGACAACATTGGCCCTGAAGGACGGAACAGCGCCAAAATCGAACCCAAAAACTGCCTAACGTCCCTTCTGAAACCCTAGAAAAACAATAGGTTTCGACCATTTTTTGTACCGCCAATGAGACATAGTGAGACATAGAAACCTCCTGCTGCTCCTGTTGCTGCTGCTGCTCTTCCTCCCGAAACTGAGAACGGACGCTGCTGGACAGGGAAACAGTGGCCCTGAAGGACGGAACGGCGTCAAAATCGAGCCCAAAAACTGCCTAACGTCCCTTCTGAAACCCTAGAAAAACAATAGTTTTCGACCATTTTTTGTACCGCTGTTTGTACAATGAGACATAGTGAGACATAGAACCCTCCTGCTGCTCCTGTTGCTGCTGCTGCTCTTCCTCCCGAAGCTGAAAAAGCACGCTGCCGGACAGGGAAACACAGTGGCCCCGAAGGACGGAACGGCGCCAAAATCGAGCCCAAAAACTGCCTAACGTCCCTTCTGAAACCCTAGAAAAACAATAGTTTTGGACTATGGTTTTCGACCAATTTTTATACCACTGTTTCTACAATGAGACATAGAACCCTCCTGTTGCTCCTGTTGCTGCTGCTGCTCTTCCTCCCGAGGCTGAAAACGCACCCTCCCCGACAGGGAAACACAGTGGCCCTGAAGGACGGAACAGCGCCAAAATCGAGCCCAAAAACTGCCTAACGTCCCTTCTGAAACCCTAGAAAAACAATAGTTTTCGACCATCTTTTGTACCGCTGTTTGTACAATGAGACATAGTGAGACAGAACCCTCCTGCTGCTCCTGTTGCTGCTGCTGCTCTTCCTCCCGAAGCTGAAAACGCACGCTGCCGGACAGGGAAACACAGTGGCCCTGAAGGACGGAACAGCGCCAAAATCGAGCCCAAAAACTGCCTAACATCCCTTCTGAAACCCTAGAAAAACAATAGTTTTCGACCAGTTTTTGTACCGCTGTTTGCACAATGAGACATAGTGAGACATAGAACCCTCCTGCTGCTCCTGTTGCTGCTGCTGCTCTTCCTCCCGAAGCTGAAAACGCACGCTGCCGGACAGGGAAACACAGTGGCCCTGAAAGACGGAACGGCGCCAAAATCGAGCCCAAAAACTGCCTAACGTCCCTTCTGAAACCCTAGAAAAACAATAGTTTTCGACCAGTTTTTGTACCGCTGTTTGCACAATGAGACATAGTGAGACATAGAACCCTCCTGCTGCTCCTGTTGCTGCTGCTGCTCTTCCTCCCGAAACTGAGAACGGACGCTGCTGGACAGGGAAACACAGTGGCCCTGAAGACGGAACGGCGCCAAAATCGAGCCCCAAAACTGCCTAAAAACAATAGTTTTCGACCATCTTTTGTACCGCTGTTTGTACAATGAGACATAGTGAGACATAGAACCCTCCTGCTGCTCCTGTTGCTGCTGCTGCTCTTCCTCCCGAAGCTGAAAACGCACGCTGCCGGACAGGGAAACACAGTGGCCCTGGACGGAACGGCGCCAAAATCGAGCCCCAAAACTGCCTAACGTCCCTTCTGAAACCCTAGAAAAACAATAGTTTTCGACTATTTTTTGTACCGCTGTTTGTACAATGAGACATAGTGAGACATAGAACCCTCCTGCTGCTCCTGTTGCTGCTGCTGCTCTTCCTCCCGAAGCTGAAAACGCACACTGCCGGACAGGGAAACAAACACAGTGGCCCTGAAGGACGGAACAGCGCCAAAATCGAGCCCAAAAACTGCCTAACGCCCCTTCTGAAACCCTAGAAAAACAATAGTTTTCGACCATTTTTTGTACCGCTGTTTGTACATTAATGAGACATAGTGAGACATAGAACCCTCCTGCTGCTCCTGTTGCTGCTGCTGCTCTTCCTCCCGAAGCTGAAAACGCACGCTGCCGGACAGGGAAACACAGTGGCCCTGAAGGACGGAACGGCGCCAAAATCGAGCCCCAAAACTGCCTAACGTCCCTTCTGAAACCCATAGAAAATGATGCTTTTGGCTCCTTTTTCCTCTTGCTGCTGCCATGAATTTTAGCTACCTTTACATCCGGTCCCCAAATAGGAAAAGACAATGAAAAAAATCACCTCCCGGGGGCGAAACACCATGCCTCTGAAGGACGGAGAAGCTCCAAAATTGCACCCCGAAAATGCCTAACGTGGCTTCTGAAACCCATAGAAAATGATGCTTTTGGCTCCTTTTTCCTCTTGCTGCTGCCATGAATTTTAGCTACCTTTACATCCGGTCCCCAAATAGGAAAACACCATGGAAAAAATCACCTCCCGGGGGCGAAACACCATGCCTCTGAAGGACGGAGAAGCCCCAAAATTGCACCCCCAAAATGCCTAACGTAACTTCTGAAATCCATAGAAAATGATGATTTTGGCGGCTTTTTCCTCTTGCTGCTGCTATGAATATGAAGTTTGGCTACCTTTAAATAGTAGTAGTAGTAATAGTAGTAGTAGTAGTAGTCCGAAACAAGAGTCAAAAGTATTATTCCCTGGCGCGCTCCCCCTTGCGTCTGCCGGGGTCGGCGGATAGTATTTGCTGGTGATTTGGCTACATTCCATGGCCAATGCCACCACTTAGGACCGCTTTCCCGCGTCCTTGCTACACCTGGCGCCCCCTCCCCACGCTCCGGTGCTGCCGCGCAGCAACACGGTGCGCACGACCTGTCGTGGAGCGCAGCAGTCAGAGTATCCAAAGCCCAAAGTGGCGGAAGCCTGGCAGAAATGGCGATTTTTTGGGTGGTTTTTGAAGGAGATTTTAACCAGCCAACATCATCAAACCAACCAGAATGGGAATATAACACACTATATGACAGCAGCCACGCGCACGCTCCGTAACCCCAAGCACTGGTGGCGGGTATTACGAAGCAGTAACTAAGAGTGGTACTATTGACTGGTGCATATAATTATGAATTACTGCTGCGTCTACATATACATCATGGGGATATCCTGATATCCTGCAATGATGAAACTAACAGTTTGCCATGGTATACATGGCCCATGTCGTTTGATTCAGGTTTGCCACGCATTGTATGGGTGGCAATACCAGATACTGGGTCAACACCCTGGCGCTATGCTACGAAAATAGCTAGGGTGGCAAATGGATGCGACTGGATGTTCATCCACTTATAACATCTTATAACACGATCCAACCAGGAAAAAGGCAAGGTTTACTGTAGCCAAAACACCAATATCTAGCCAACAAAGGGGATTGGTTTCATTGGGCCTTCATTCAGCCAACAAGAATTTGGAATTTAACCATTTAAAATCCAACAAAATCCAACAAAAGGGGAAATACCAGGTTACCACTTAACATTTAGGGTTGGGAAAGATAGCATGGATCCAAGGCATTGAGCTCCCAGGGTCCCAGGGTCCCAGCATCGGAACATCACCCTTTGGCAGGTGAGTTCCCGTTATGCCATGTTACGCTGGATAAATTCTGGGTAAATTATAACGACCTCACTGCGACCTCACTGGAATCATGGTTAGTAAGGGAAATCATCCCCAAATGGCCTTAATTCAGGTTAGTGAAATATTATAATTTACCCAGATAAATTGTAACGACCTCACTGCGACCTCACTGGAATGATGGTTAGTAAGAATAATTATCCCAATAATTATAGATCAATATAGCATAATATAGCCTGATTTCAGGTTAGTAATACTATAATTTATACCCAGATGCATGCAGTTGCTGCGTAGCTCTTCTAAGTTTGGGCACGTTTGGGAAGCCCTCGCAGCCAAGGAGGTTTTCTTGGGCAAGGGCTGTGACGTGATTGACAGCACCAGCGAGGAAGAAATGAAACTCACTCTTGCTAGCAATCTTTTTGCCGGTGTTTCATGATTTAGTACAAATAAGTGTTGATTTATTAATGACTTTCGGATTATGTGGGAAAGCATATATCATTATCATATTATATCATATATTAATATCCATGTCTTTCTCACGTTGAGCGGGCCAAGCCCCATTTCAAGAACCAGCCCCACTTGAGGAAACAGCTGGAAGATGTCTTGAAGCCAAGTTCGCAGTGCCTTGGCTGCCTTGGTTCCATCTGGATTCCTGGAAAAAGAATCCCAAAAAACGATAGTGAAACTATTAGTGGAACTGTGCGAATCTGATCCCTGGCATATCTGGAATTATCTGGATACATGCTGGAAAATTCTAGATTCCAGTTTCTTCCAACTTGCCAGAGGTGATCCTATCCATCAGGTTTTCAGGATTTTAGGGCGTTCAAGGCAAAGGTCAATCAACACCCAAGCTGCAGGCGGCCTGCGCTGCTGAAGCATTTGGCGCGGCGCTGTTTCCCCGGCAATTGGACGTTTGAACATCTCTCTCAACGAGGTTCGCCCGGCTTCCCACGCTACACCTTGCCATACCTTGTCATACCTTGCCATAGCCATGCCCGGTTTGATGGAGAATCATCAGCCATTTGTGGCGTATATTATTCATGGTTATTCTATCTTAGAATCTTAGGTGATGTTGTTCAATCGATGTTGTAGATTTGAATGGTTGGATTTTAAAAATAGCCCAGATTGAAGAGGAAAAACATGGAAAAACCATAAGAAACATAACACTTGAACACTAACAAGAGCTAATAAGTATAGATTCATATAGATTCTAGAATTCCCCTGGTTGGATTTTTTCAGGGTGTACCCCAAATATCCCATTTTTTTTCCATCAAAATCCTGCAAAATCCTGGGCCTGGTTGGATTTCCACCACCAGGTGGAGATGTGGTGGTGGATGGAGTCCGTTTGGGAACTGGAGATGGTGGATACACTTTCCATTACGCTGATGAGCAGCTTGCCGCGTGAAACGGACACACCCGTTTCCGGCACGGGGAAAACGATGGGGAAAACGATCTCCCACTTGAGGCGACACCCCATTGTTAAGCCAAGTTGTCGGATATCAGTAGGTGAAGTATTTCTGGATATTTCGGGTATAGATATACCTGATACATCTACTATGGATCTCAATGGTGTTTATAACGCCCCAATGATTTTTAAACGCCCATCTCCCAGGTCTAAGGACGCCTGTTTTACGGATCGCAATGCTCAGCATCAGCTGGCAGACGCCATGTCCCTGGCGGACTTCCTGGCGGCAGGACGTCAGGAAGGCCCTGGGCTCTACCTGTGGCTGGTGCTGCTGCAGTCGAAGCAGGGGATCATCCAACGCAGCGCATTGGCAGAGAGGATTGGGACTGGAGATGTGGAGGGGTTGAAGTATGGTGAAGTGAAAGGCTGTTAGATGGATGGTGATTTGATGGTGATTTTATAGAATTTTCGGACGGCTGATTGGTGGGGGGTTCTGTCCCAAATTCGGGGATGTGTGCAAATTCACTGGGGATGGGTGCATATCATCAACAAGGGCCGCTTCGGGTCACTTGCGATCATAAACATGCAATGATCAAAGCATTTTCAGGCGGTGACAAGGATTCGTCAGGACATTCCTTACATCCTGCAATAGAATTTCATCCTTGAGTTTAATCATAGTTTAATCTACAGCTGGCAACCTTTGCTGAGCCTGATTATCAAAGCCTTGCCTGATTTATGGTTTATGTTTACCCGGTTTACCCGCACCCAATTTATGGTTTTCTCATCCAAAAGACTTCAGCATACCGCTGAGTGCTTCCCAAGCCGTTAGATGCAACCTTTGTGCAGGCTGCGTGAGGAACTTGATGCCATGGATTGGGACATCCTCAAGTGCCACGGCACGGCATGCCACGGCTGTCCCAACAGCAGGGTTGCTCCAACAGCTAATTGATAGCCGCAAGGAGGGAGATTAGTGAGTTGACCATAGTGTACTTCTTTATTTGTTTATACTGTTACAAAGTTATACCATTTGGGATATTTGGGGTCTTGGGCGCCACTCTGATCAAGGTTCATGGCGTTTTTTCCCAACAAAAATGATGCCAGAGAGAGAGAGAGGAGGATTTCTAGCTGCCTTTCCAGGAAGATCTCGGAGTTGGGTGACCTGGGCAGTCTGAAGAAGCTGCAGCTCTTTTGTGGCGTGGGTGGCACCGTGACGGCCTGCCATTACGACGCATGGCCGTCATGCCGGGCGCGATGGGATGGGTTGGAACTGTGGCTCAGTCAGGTGGTTTTGAACATGGAGATAATGACCGATAAATGGCAATCTTAGGATGAAGAGAAGTGATCATGATTGATCGTGTTTTTTTTTTGTTGGTTTAAGACCATAATCGGGCACCATGACACTCGCGGTTCCTCCCTTTTGTTCAGACATGTTCAGACAGACCCATGTGGTCTTTTATGGTTGTAATGGTCACCATTGGCATGGTGTCATCAGAGCTAGCCAGGATGCCATCCTGTAAGGATCAAAGTCAAAACCTCTTCTTTCAACTTCAAGGCACCAAAAGGCGCGAACATGGGATGGTGGGCAGCGGCTCTCTCGGAAGGCCGCCATAACTTGCCTGTGGGGTTATTACCATTGTTGCTGGAAGAACTTTCAGCTGGTGACTGTTCGCAGTTTCTGATTCCGTGCCATTGTGAAGGTTCATCCTTTTTCCACCTTTGGTGGGAGCTGGTGCGTTGCTGCCATTCCCAATTGCACATCCACGCGACCGTTGTGCCCGTGCACCTTTGGATCAGACGTTCCCCAAGCAGTCGCATTTGGCGCATGGACAAGGTATCGAGGTCATCGTGGAAGCAGGAGCTCCATGGCTCAATTCTACAGCGAATAAAAATCACAGGGGCCCCTGTTTTTTTTTTTTGTTCTCGCCCTGGTGTTTTTCCAAGATCGGATTATGGATTTGTCCCACAAACGAAGTTTTGCCTCGGACCGATTTTCGGACTATGCCATTTCATGCCATTTCTGATTCCAATGCGTTGTTTCACCAATTGAAACCTTGGGCAACCTTTCATGAAGGATTCCGCACAAAAAAAAAAGCGGGGCCAAGATTCTTGTCCAGGATCAGGTGCTTGTGTTTCTTAAGGTGCTTTCAGATGAATTGGGAGTCTTACATGCGCACACACACACACACAGGGCCGAATGTGTGGGCATGTGTGGGCATTTGCCTGGTGACGATTGGTGAGGTAGAAATATATGGAAGGCTTCTTGTAGGGGAAGGGTTTAATGCGTGGAGATTAGCTATATTTAGCTATGAAAAGTTTCCTGGAATGATTAGTTTCCAGGATCTTCCAGGAAACTTTGGCAAAAGCATGTCCCAACGCCTCTGAGGATTGCCTTTTCCTGCCGCAGATCCTTGGCTCGGGATGCCAGTCATATCATGAAACCAACCATCTTTATTGATGCGGGTTCAGATCCACAGTGAATCCACGGTTTTGTGTTTTAAGGTATGGAGGTTTCCAGGTTTCCATAGGTTTCCTAAGTCATTGGGGCCCCAAATCCAAGTCATTGGACTCTTAGACCATGTTGAAACCCGTGGGATCCCCCTCCGTCCCCGCCCGAGGATGTGGTGGCACCATGCGACTCGATGAACCCAGCAGGTTGGATGTTGGAAAAGCCACGAGGTAAACATGGGAGAATGATACGTGGGACACGGATGGACATGGATTTAGTTGTTGTTGTTTTTTTTTTAACACGGGGAAAGAGATGCAAGATGAGGATAATCCTCCGGTAATCAAAGGTGGCAATGGAAATTTCACCTCAATTTATAGATGATGAAAACCTCGATTTATCGGGGATATTTGGATATTTGATTGATTTTGATGGCCACCTTTGAGTAGGATATATAAAAGACATGTAGATCTAGACTAGACATAATTTAAAGCATCCACCTTCGAGGACCGTAGGAATCATGTGGATAGATAATCATAGATATGCAGATGCACGTTAAACACTGTGTATAATTAAATGATATTAAATGTATATCTTATATCACAATTAAATGAATATTATTATATATTATATATATATACAAAATATACATATATGATTGATCACGGAGATAGTATATATATACATACATATATATATATATAAATATATATATATAACGACTATATTAACATGATTTTACAGATATTTATTCTACACACTTTTTTTTTGGTCCACATTCGCCAAGGTGGAGTCGCTGTGTGCGGAGAACCTCTCGCTGTCGCTGTGGCTCCAGGGTGGTGCTTTGGACCGGCGTCCGATGCCGATGCCGGGGATGCCCCAAGCCCTGGTGGCGGAGTTGCTCAGGGAGCGCCTCGTGCCGGGAAAAAAATTGGGTGACCTAGCGATGAAACATGGAAATCCCATGGAAACCCCATGGAAATGCATGGAAAATATGGAAATGGCTTATGAAAATCATATTTGAAGGAGTTTTGAATGGGAACATCATTGATAAACGACGGGTTTTTCATTGCCATGATTGCTGGAGGGCATAGCAACCCCTGAAATGGTTCTGAAATAGTGATGAATTGAACCTTTTCTATCTTTCTTGGGGTTGCTATTACATGCTATAACCATGGTGAACCAACTTCATCAGTTGGGTTTTTTCTGAACAACCCCAGTCCCACTAGTGCCACCTGGAACAAGTGGTTACCCCCAAGGCAGGGATTGGTTCATCATCGGTTATATCCTGTTATCTCTGTTCAGATTGGGGATTTGGGGTGGGTCAACACCTAGGACCTATATTGGACCTATCATATTCTGGGGGTGAGCATCCATTTGCCAACTCTTTAAGCTCACCCGGATGCATTTTGTGGGAAAATGGATGTACCATTTCTGTTGCCAGATATGCTGGGGCTACCTACCTTGATTTCATTAGTGTCATGTCGTGTCAGAAAGATACGGATTTGCATACTTTTATACAGATATTGGCGAAGAGACATATTTTTGCCCCCGTGACCGACCACTGATGACTGAGTCTGAGGTGGGAGTTTTACTTGGCCAGCCACATTGGTTCCTGGACGTGAGAGGATTCCGCTGGAAAGTTCACGAACATGCTTCAGACTTCAAGGGTGGCCTTCAATACAAGAAGAAGTGAGTTTTGGAATGCTTTAGATGATTTTAGATGTTTAAGTCATGAATTCCAGAAAACTGGAATAAGCTGCTCTTAAAGAGCATCATTTTCAGCGCACATCTGAACCTTCGAGGCGCTAGATGAATTTGATTGGAATTGGAGTTGCGCATCCGCTGAGGCTATGGTCCGGAGTTGGCCCCTTGGAAATGCTGGAGCCAGACTGGGGACTGGTGGGTTGCTATGTTGCTATGGCTTCCTACTTTTGACCCATATCTGAGTGATGATGAACATTGATAATTTTTCTAGATTTGAATCACTTGCACCACGAAGTTTGCTTACCCTCTGGTAACATTGCTATGGAAAATCAACATGTTTTAGATAGGTCATCATTATAAATGGCACATTTTCCATAGCAAACTGTTAAATAATTAGAGGGTAGCCCATTCCCGCTACCCAATGACCAGAGCCTAGGCAAAAGCACCCCGCCCCACCCCCCCGGCACATGTGACCAGCCATGGCTGCTTTACCTTCTGCCCAAGCATCCAACCAAACGCAATTCACGATATTGAAGTAGCCACATGGTTAAACCAAAGTGAGGACGTCTCAACCTCAAAAGGCTTACCCTTTGGTAATCAAAGATGGCAATGGGAAATCCACTATGAATTCAGGTTTAACGGGAATATCATTTGTAAATGGTGGATTTTCCATTGCAATGTTTCATCGAGATCTCCGGCAGAAGCTCCTCCTCTACTGGTCGTTGATCAGACCTGAAATTTCAAGGCTTGGAATTGGAATCTAAGTAATTAACGGGCATTTTTTCCAGAAAAAAGAATCCAATTTCTGGCTTCCTGCCGTTCAAGGGAACATAGGAGAACTTATTCTCTAACGCCAGGTCGTACTTCTTTTCCTAATAGCCATGCCATCAGTATTCAACGAACTTCGGCACATTCCAACTGCCCTTCTTATAAAAGCATGTCGCATAGATGCCTCTGCAAAAACCTCTTGATGTAATTGGGGATCATATCAGCATCACTTCCAGAGCTGCCGGGACTGAGGAATTGTTCCTACTGTGGTTGAGATCTCCTTCCAGTGCCTGTGGTTTTGGAATGAAACAGGGCAAAAAGTGGAGTTTGACCCAAAAATGGGGGTGTTACATTATGGTATGGGATGCTCAAGGAAATGGGTACTCTATGAAGCCGATGAAGCAACCAATAGAACATAGAACAACATATGTTTCAGGTAGATCCAGAGGAGTTCGATGTGTTTGACGGAATTCATGCTGCAGCTGCGGGAAAGATGTGAGGACAAACGAACAGACTTCGAAAAGGAAAAAGATGAATGAATGACAAAAGTATACAAAAGTGAATTGCTTAAACAGGCAAACAGAAATAATACCATTGAACAATGACAAGGCCTTCCTGTTCCCAAGAGTCGCCAAAAGTGAAGCATCGGTAGTTTGATCTGAATTAAGTGTCTTGTGTATGGCTTTTGGGCCTACAGAGAAGGATGGATTGCGGTCGTTTGGCCAACGTCTCAGAAAAGTTATTCGGAAGCTCTATATGATGTTACAAGATTGTCTATGTATGTTTATATACTATATGTATATAACTCTATACACACACATATAGATATTAAATATGTTATTAATATTTATTTAGCTCTGCACATTTATATATATTATATACATATAAATAAAGATAAATAAATATCTGCATTGGCGCATTCTTTCCACCCATCTCCGATAACTGGACTCCGATAACCATGGAAGGCAGAAACTCCTCCTGCATTTCACTAAATCGTTTGCCGAATCAGATGCCAGTCGGGGTTCTGAGAGTATACGCCTTTGCTTGTGTCATTTGCCTGGGAAGAATCGATTGATTGAACCCCATTGGTAATTAGGCTTAATTATGTAGGGTTGCATGTTGCATGACATCTTACACTATTGGTACCCAGGGCGAGGGTTGGATGTCAGGTGCAACTGGCGACGCGAGCATACCTTATGAGTGGCTGCGCTGTGGAGCATTGCTGCTGCAACACGCCATTCGGTTGCTGCCGCCACAATGGCTACCACACTTTTTAGGACTCACCACATATCCACATGAAGCCACTGGGAAGCCTTGGGTCGAAGAGTTTAAGATGTTCAAGGACATGAAACCAACAGTACTTCAAGAATGGCGGGTATGGGAGTAATTATAAGGTCAAGAGAATGAGGCTTTTTCAGTATAGGTACTTACCCAAGACAATCACCTCTATGGGAAAGTATGTCGGTACTTGAAATTTGGGTTTGAGATAAATTTTGCAAGCGAAATGGTGGCACTTTGTTTGGCAAAGCTTTTGAGAAGAGATGGCCGTTCCCGGAACCTCTTCGCCGGGTGGGATGTCTTCCATGTCTACAAATATCATCAAATATCGAACTCTTTAAGGGTGGAACTATCGGAATATGTCAATTCACTGTTTGGTTGCACCGGAAAGACCATTTGTTTCGAGCCAGCATGTGCTGGCGCACTTGCTACGCGACTGCGGGCTCAGGACAAGGACCGAGCAGAACAGGGTCAGAAGATGAGTTTGTTATCAATTAGAGCTAAAAATGAGTTTGAAATTGTGCAATCATCAGAAACACATATGTACAGGAACATATTTATAGTCCAAACACGCATGTTATTGCCTTTATAATGTAATGACATTCATTTCTTTGAACATGCTCGGGGATGACCAATTTTTGTTTAGCACTCTCAATTTCTTGGGCCACGTTTCTCCCAGGAGCCTTTGATGTTCATCGATTTCATGGTTTGGATCTTCGCAGCTCGACAGCTCCAAGACGGGGCGGTCCTGCGTGTGCGAGGAAGCATGCCTGGCCACAGCAGCGGAAAATGAAAGGGGAGGGCTGGCCAGGATGGCCCAAAGAAGTTCATCATAATCATAATTCATTTCTATGCTTCTAGTCTAGGGGCCTCTAAGTGGCAAAATTCCATTTGTTGATATTTGTTGAGGTTCTAAGTAGTTCTCGGTAGGAAAGATCCCTGGAATCCATCCAATGGGGGGCATCCCTTATCGGTCCCTATGGCAGTTTCAGGAATCCACAATGATGGGATGGCCGTTTGATGACACTTGAGCATATAGGTTGGAGTATAGGCAAATGATTTGAACAATGGTGGGCTACCGTTTTAGTTTGCCAGGTCGGCCGTGAAGCAAATCAACCCCGGCAAGTGCAGTCCCCACATCCACGGATGCGTTTGGGTTCATTGCAGCAGGCCTGTTTACGAGCAAGAGTAGGTCAATATCTCTTCCAAAGATTTCATGTTGCAGGGTCAGGGTTTTTGGACATTCTAGTAGAAAATGCAGACCCAAGATGATTTGGTCCTGCCATTTGGCACTCAGGTTCCAACTCCCGCTAGCACATTTCGCAATACCAGGCGCACAGGAAGTCAACTCCGAACCACCAGACCACAAGAGTAGCACATTTGTCTTGAAACCATTGACCCCCAACTTGTGTTGAGCACTTAACGCGATGAAGTTCTCGCGGTCCACCGGCTCTCCATGTTTTGAGCCATTCCCACTTGAGCCCTTTGCCATGGGCCATGAACCACGCCCTGCTTGGTAGCTTGTGGCGCCCCACCCTGAACCCATGCGCTGCCACTTCCACACCGAGAACACCGCGCAGGCCATTGACCAAAATCGTTCCAGGGAGTTGAAAGCACCAGTCATAGCTAGTCCGTGGCTTGTCAATGTATTTTTTTTGCCTTGCTTCAAGGCTAATCTTGGATGAGTGGAACTACATGTGAATGCACAGAGAACACGCAGTCACTTCTTTAGTATGGTTGGTTCATGTTGGTTCCATCATTCTTCCCTGAAAGCTAGCATTTCTGGAAGTTGTTTTGTTAAGATGTGGCGGCTTGACTGTCTGTAGCTGGGTCGAGCCACATCAGCCAAGGGCAAACCTTGATAGAAATTGCGAAATCATTGTGGCAGCATGTGGCAGCCACTGATCCAATTCCCCATGGCGGCAGACCTTGAAAGCTAGCCTGGGGAATCTTGGGCATCCCCAAAATAGAGTTTCCCATGTTCAGATGACCTCAGCTGTGATCCCCAACCGTTCCCAACCTGATGGGCTCAAACCGCTCAAACCTTCGCAGGCGACCATTGCGATGGTTCCCCTATGGCCGCAGCCCTTGGGGCATGGCTGTTGCCCTGTGCGCAAGCTGGCGGCTCTCTGCACAAGGCAGGGCCGAACTCCGGTCGAGATGTTATTCCTGTGTAGGCTTGCCAAAATGTTGAGCAGTATGTTAGTATGATTGGTATTGATTGGCATAGTTTTATACAATAAATAGGCTTATTAGATCTTACCAGATCTTACTAGTAATTATAAAATATACATATGTATATACAACATGTTTTTTTTTTGGACCTGTATGCATATTGCACATAATCCTGATCACTCTTCTCGGGCCTGGGGTTTCCCCAAATGAAGCGTCCAAAATGAAAATGAAGGGTTGAAAAGGTCCCTTAGATGGACCTCACATAAAATAGTTTGCAGATTGTGATATTTGTTGACATGTCGACTCCAATACCTGGGGCTAGTTGGTTGATATTTCCATCCCTCGACTAAGCAAGGAACACCTGAATTGAACACCCGAATTGAAGCCAATTCCCTAGGTGTATGTATCCCAAAAGGCCAGATCCTGGATGATATTCATCCAAATCTTAGCCCAAATCCATCCAAATCCACCCAAAACTCCCTTAAGAATCTCGGCATTTGCTGACCTTTCGGAACACAACGGGAATCCCTGTGACCCGGCCGATGACCCAAGGCCGGGAGGCCTGGGAGATCGAAGGTTGGCCCTGCGGCCGAGCCTCCAAGAAACGCAGCGGCCATCCGCGGGTCACCAGCGCTCAGCTGCACGAGGTGGTGCTGGCAGCAGGACGCTATTCATCAGGTTGTTTGGTATGGGATTTAGTAGTGGTTTAATGGTGGTTTAATGGCGATTCAATGGTGATTTAATGGGAATTAATGGGATTCAATAGTGGTTTAATATGGTTTAATGGTGATTCAATGGTGATTTAATGGGAATTAATGGAATTAATTAGGATATATGATGGTATACCTTCTGGTTATGACTAACATAGCCATGGTATAGATGGCCCATAGAAATAGATGGTTTACCTAGCTATAAAATGGTGATTTTCCATGGCTATGTTAGTCATAACCAGATGGTAATTATAATTGATAATATTATATATATATATATACATATCTCTTTACTAAATGTTATTACTCATCACTATATCTATTTATAGTTATTTAATCTATTAGTAATTAGGCTTGTGTCCATCTGTTTGGAGGGCTATAAAGATCTATGAAGATATATGAGAATCTTGGGTAGGGCCAGGTAGGGAGCTAACAAATGAAAGAATAGAGCCACTAAATGCAACTGAAGATTGAAATTCCCAAGGGTTGTGGGGGTGTTGAACATGAACCGAACCCAAGATTGCTAGAGGATCACCGCGGATCGTTTGCGCACGGATAATCCCGCTGATTGTTTGGAAGGGTGTTTGTATATATTTGTATCATCAAAGACTAGGTATTTGTGCCTACAATTGGAGACTGAAGAAAGAAGGGCATACCTTAAACATTCTTAAACATTCTTAAACCATCTTAAACATGCTTAAACCGATGTGTTTTTTTTCCTGGCCAAAGGGGAATGAGCAGCAAACATGGGGAGAACACCGACCAACATATGGGTTTTCAAGGACAACATTCGGGTGTCAAGCAGCATTGAATTTCCAGATGCCCTCTGGTTGTCTAACCTGGGAACCCCCTCCGAGCCCCCCCAGCAGGGGTTTCCATTGAAAGGTTTGATAAGGTAGATACAATGGATAAACCAATTTATAGCTATATATATAATATTTATTGAGTATAATATCATATAATATGCATACACATGGAAAATCTAGTCACGTATCATATGTCATCATACTATATATATATATGTATATATATATATATATTTGATTGTATGTGTATCTCTATATTCTGTTCCTAAAGATTGGTGTTGAAGGTCTCCATCCCCTTTTTTGCCGTGACCCTTGACGCTTGAGGACTCGGACATAGATTTACGATGCGGCCAGCGCCCACGACGAAACGTGTCGAGGTGGGGCGGCGGTTGCGGGAGGTGATTCTACCCAATCTATCCGATATGATGTTAGTAAAGCAAGACTACACCATCCCCAAATTTACTAATCCCCAACCCCAGATTAGTAGACCATGGTTTATTAATTAATTAGGGAGGTACTCCCCAAATAGTGACAATCTGATGCTTAATTATATAAATTGCACCTTTCCCAATTAAACAGCCTAGTTTACTTATCCAGGGTCGATGTTATAAATGGATAATGGGTGGTATAAACCATCAATATATTGCTTTACCAACGACATTAGTGGGGATGACCGTCTATGATCATCTATGAACTGGGAATTTTCTTAGCCAACCAGCACAAACAAACATAGGCTTTGGAACACTTTTCATACAGAGATGTATCCTGATACCAGGTGTCTACATATGACTGGGCATTTGGAGTCATAACCCCACTTGTAACCAGAGGTTGGTGCTTGGGTGGATGAAGATCATAACAGAGGTTGGAAGTTCTTGGTGTTATCTAATGGGTCGTAAGTCCGACACTTGTTGGCACGTGGTTCTTTGAAGACCACGGAACAGGATATTTTTCCGGTGTGTTGTTCCATATGTTTTTTCCCCAAACAACAGCATTTTGTTGGTGAAATCAATGGGTGAAAGGAAACAATTGTACAGGTTCAACCATGGTTCAAGATAGCCTCAGGTTTAGAAAAGTTTCTTCAAATATTCCCCAAACAACATCCTTCAACCGTAGGATGAGGGGAATCTTCACCACAGGTTGTTTCACCCAGCAAGACCTGGGGGCTGTTTGGGTCTCTGCTCAGGGAACTGATCATGCGAAGCTGAAAGGTTTGATGCGACTCAGCCGGTCGTGGGAAAGCCTGGCATAAACCTCTTACCATTTGGGATACCCTCTGGTAAACTAACAGTTTGCTATTGAAAATGGCCATTTATAGTGGATTTTCCCATTAAAAATTGTCATTTTCCATAGCTATGTTAAATTACCAGAGGGTAGCAAACATACCACCCATATCCACCCATAAACATGATTAAACATGGTGATGACTGGAGGATGGTTTAATTTATTATTGAGTACCATATGGAAACCATATGGAAATAAGACATGGTAATCTGAAATCGATACATAGGCATTCAAATGGAAAATCATCTATAAATGGTGTTTTTTTCATTGCCATGTTGCCATGTTGCCATGTTTGATTACCAGCGGGCACATGGTCATGCACACATGATTGTTCTCATCTCTTTTGAAGCATTTGCGCGCATACACATGGATTCGATAATATAGATAGATTACTGTATTTATTAATAGTAATTGCTGTAAAGCAGAAAATATGCAGGTGTATGATGAATATGTGTGCTCACCGTTGGCACCAGCTTGGTAAAGTACATCCAACTGTTTCGGATGTGCCCTTTGCGTCCCTTTCCTGGTTCCATTGATGCGTTCTTTTCTAGGAAAAGCATACCGGTAGTGGCATCTACCTGGTTACCTGTGCACTGTTTTGGTGATGTTGCTGCCAGAAAAACCCATCATGTATTAGTGAGTGGTGGCTATGGTGGCTACCAGCCCACGGCACCGGCCTGAGGAAGGCTTCCCTTGCACGCTGCAATGCGTTGCTGGCCAACGACGCCCTGCGCACCATGCACCGTGGCTAGCAGCAGAAGCTTTGCACGCACCAAACCTTGGATTTACCACTGGGTCTACCTTGGCTAAGTATGGCTAAGTTAATTTTTCATTGCTGGATTTTTTCCAAGTTCATCAAGCGGCTTCAAGCGGTCATGTCCTGCAGGGGTCACCTACTCCGAAAACGGCAGCTGACCATCGACCCTGGCACTTTCGACCGCCTGGCCCGGCAGTTGGTGGAGTCGTCGCTCCTTCTCCAATGCCCCTGCGAGGAGAAGTTGGAGGTTCCAGGATTTCAGTTTGATGAGGGAAAATCATGGAACCACGTGGAGGATCATGGGGGCTGAAGAGTGTGAAGTACTGAGCTCCCAGCCAAATGGATCTGCAGACCAAGGGACATTGGAAAATCTTACGCAATCAAATGGTTGACCTGCAGAGTTGGAGCAATGAATACCAACAGTTATCAACATTTAAAACATGATAAAATATGTGAGAAGATTTGCAGGTTATCAAATCTAGGTGTGTATTGCTGTCCCAATTTTCGTATGCCCATGGATTTCCCCCTTTCAGCAGGCGGAGCTTCTCTCCGTCGAAAGACCCGAAGTTCCCGAAGAGGCGGAGCGACTCATGGCCCGTTTGGTCACGCAGCTGCTGCCACGATGGTTAGAGGACTGGAGGGTTCTCCCTGAAGCTAAGATGGGTATGGATCAATACCTATTAATACCATTTTTAGGGGGGTGAACATCCATATTTACCAGCTATTTTGATGTTCACCAGGGGTACAAGGTTTTGACACACTGCCAGATGGACCCCCAAAAATGGATCTGCAAGAATATTAGCACTTCTTAGCACTTGGTTGCCTTTGGGATGTTTTTTGGGGTGGCCCTCGTAGTTTTCAAGCCATTTTTATATTCAAGGCCTAGTTAAAAATGTTAAAACCGATGATTCCAACTCACTCGACCTTGGGTAGATGGCGAAGGAGCCTTGGGCCTCCAGGGCAGAGGAATTCCGCTTGAAGTTGGCCCTGGAGTGTTGGGAGGAAAATGTGCCGGAGATGGATGTGGAAGGTGCCACAGCCAAGTTTCCAACAAGCATTTCTGCTGCCAGATCCCTATTGGATCCTTAAGGGACCCTCAATGATTAGCCTTAATGGATCCTAGTGGAGTATGAAATATCTCACCATACTGAATCAGATATGGCTACTGTAACTACATGTCACATATGCGCACACGCTTGGTATCTATGGTTATATCCAAAGTTCAGCGGTGTGTCAAACCGGTTATATCACGTGACAGCACTGAAAAAATGAGTTGGCCTGAAACATGTGCTCCAAATTAACTCCCAACTCTGACTGCTTTGAAACACGTTTTATGTTCAACATGTTTCAAGCCCTTTTGGGATGATCCCCAGTTGAGTCTACGGCGCCGCTGGATCTGAGCCTCGAGGCACAGGGCTCTACACGGCCATCGCGCTGGAACTCGGAGACCTTCCGCGAGCCAACAGCGCCATGGAGCCGCTGAAGCATCGGGATCTACGCCTGGCCTTTCAGTCGCTTGGAAGGTACTGGGTACCAGAAAAAAAAAAACGTGAGAGGGGAAATGAAAAATTACAGACTATTTAGCACTGTTTATTATTTGCTATTTAAGTAAGTATCTTGAAAAACATATTACCAAAAAAAAAAGTCGTGTTGGGTTTGATTGCTGCTGAAAAAATATAACCCTGCTGTCGCTGGATGAAATCGGGTCCAAAATGATGCGACATGCCCAGTTGAAATTGGCCAGCCTCGTTGTTAAGGGTTGGTGGCTGTGTGCCTGTGCCACAGACTCTTCTACAGGATGCTAGCGGATAGCACGGTGTATGTGTCATGCAGAACTCGCACATCAGGACTGTGTACTGTAGATTATTGTAAATTCTGGCCTTTGTTGCTTCCTGCGGCTTTGTCCTTGCACTCATCGTCAAAGCATTCCTTAAGTAGGGAGCTCAGGAGCATAGGTCATGTTGACTCGAATATTGGAAGCATCTTAATTATGAAGTTACTGCGCATATATCATGCCAGAAGCACCCTGGAGAATCTTTATATACTGAATAAATAGATAAATAAATAAATAAACAAATATTAAATAAATGATAAATAAATAATAAATAATAAATAAATAATCAATAAATAATAAATGAATAATAAATAAATAATAAATAAACAATAAATAAATAAAAAATCAATAATAAATAAATAAATAATAAACAAATAATAAATAAATAAATGACGGAATGAATAAATAAATCAATAAATAAATAAATAAATTATATATATATACCTATAGTAGTTGCTTATTATGGGAAGTGCATCAACACAGTGAGTCAGTCTCTTGCTATGCCCTTCCCATCAAGGCCTGCCTTCCTGGACGACTTGACTTCACATGGGCTTTGGTCCCTTCCTGCAGGTGCGACAGCGCGCTCCACAAACTGAAGGTGTGAGGAGGTCCACCTCTTCTTGTGATTTCATAGAACTGGAGTCTTAGGCCGAGGTTGCGAGGTTGCTTGATTCATTACCCTCTGGTAAACTAACACAACTATGGAAAATCACCATGTTTAATGGGAAAATCCACTATTTCTATGGTCATTTTCAATAGCTATGTTAGTTTACCAGAGGGTACCCCCTACTTCACTCCAATCCATTCTCCCAGCCGGCAAGTCTCGTCGTGCCACCGGAGGCAGTGACACTGGTGCGACTTCGCTCCCTGCATTGGTGCAGCGGGCAGCCATGGTGGCCAAAGGGGACCAAAGCGTTAACCGCACCATGGCTGTGTTAAGCGGGCCAGGCCCATCAACCGCCTGCGCAATGTTTTTGCGATCAAATCCCACTGTTGATTTGTTTTTTTCCATTCTAGGATTTTTAAGATTAAATCATTAAATCTATTTAAATCTCAATTTCCTTGATCAAGTCCTAACTTTCTTGACAGAATCCTAAGTTCTATCTGCTAGGCTGCTGATTGTTCTTACTTATTTAAATTTTAAATCATATTAAATTTCAGCTCGTTCTTGGTGAAATTCCTTATTCATAACTTACAGTTACTTACATCATAGAATTGGATGATGGGAAAATTTACAGGAAACCCCTACATTTGATGGTAAAAAACATGGTTTCCTGTAGATTTTCCCTTAAGCCAATCCATTGATTACAGTTCTCAGCAACTTTTCCTCACATCCAGGTCGTCGGCATGGTGCTTTGCTCCTTGAGCCCTGTGGGCGTGTCATCACTGAAGGCCAGCAGTGGAATTCGGGGTGATTTTCATGGGGAAAAGAATGGGAATTGTTGATTATTATTGCTGGTTGGTGGTTTGGAACATTTTTTATTTTCCCATATACTGGGAATAATAATCCCATTTGACTAATATTTTTCAGAGGGGATGAAACAACCGACCAGATTGGTTTAGTATAGGTTATTGTGATTAATGATTCGTATTAATAATATATATATATATATATTAATAAATATATCAGTATGATAGCTTAAAGATTGTTTTTGACTGATGAATATCTTACAAGAATGAACAGGTTATTGGTGGTCGAAGAATGAAAGAACGACAAATGATAGCTGAATGAATAATTCGAAATACCATGATTAATGGTGATACCTTACCGCACCAGAATATTCCCAATGGTCACTGGACACATGATTGGGAACATCTGACATGTTTTTAGTCGTAAATACCTGAAATGAATAGAAACTAGTAATATTTAAATCCCATATTTTGGGTTGAACATGCACCAAGTTCTATCATCACCGGGGTTTTCCCCCTTAAACTTCATAGGGTGCGGCTCTTTGAAAGTTCCCAGTTTTTTTTTCCGGTGGGATTTAATGGCACCCTGTACTTTCACATAAACCTATCTAGGATGTCGTTGATTTTACCTACACATACGTTTTGGTTTCTGCCTATCAGGGGGACCGTGCAAAAACTATCTGACCCTCACCCTCCGTAGTGATAGGGGGTAACAAAATGAACACTTCTACGTTTCAGTTTTAGGGGGCGTATTATCAGGGGTAAGGAATTGGATTATTGCATCGGTGATTCCAAGATTTCAACGTTGTTTGCCAACATACTGCAAAGTTGCCAGATCTTCAAGAAGAACATGACTTGCGAGACTGTCCACTGCCCCATCTTGGAGGGGGCCATGCTGAGTTTTTCAGAAGTTTGTTTTTTCCTTTGTCAAAGCTTGGATTACCTTAGCAACTTCGGGGTGATGTAGAGCTGATGTCATCTCCCGTGGATGCCAAGCACAGTGAAATGCTGGGAAGATCTTAAGTCTTAAATGGTATCGGTATCGGACGCAACTGTGCACGTAGAATCAATTCGTATACATGATGGGCATCGCTGCAGTCAGAGGTTACAACCACCTTGCTGAACCCTTGCAGCCACGGAGGAGCCGAGGGGAATGCATCACTTGAGGTTTGGAGGTTGAACATTCCAAAGCATGCAAGGATGTATATAAGCAAAAAAATGTGTGTTTTGCTGGGATTTAATATGATTTCATGATGTATCAATGTCAATATGATTCATCATGTATCCACTTCTGTCAGAACTGCTGACCGCCGCTGTTGGGACAGACTTCGGGCCGCCAAGAAGAGATGGTATTGCAACTAGTACTGGCACTGGTCCGAGCTTGAACTTCTTGCATCCCTTCGGTAAGCTGACATGTCAATGGGAAACCCCAAGTTGAACAAGAAGTTCATCACCGTTGCTGTATGAAATCAGCAGAAGGTATGTGCTCTTACTGTAATTAAAACATCAGCTGCAGGACAGACAAGCTGCATCCTCTGCTGAAACCAAAGTGGCGGGAGACGCAGCGACATGCTGAGGCGCAGAAGGGGGACATATTGGGGTCCACTTAGAGACAGGCTGCAGAGGCAGGTCAGGAACTGCCGCGGAGTTCTTTGGATGGTTCTTCAATCTTGGAAGTAGAAATCAGAGAATTTTATTGAAGTATGTTCAAGTCTTTGGCTGTCCGCTTCATCAATCAAGTATAATCAAGTAGTTTTTTCTCAGTGCTTTTGATACCTTTTGAACATGAATGAACATGAAGATAACATTCACATCACCAGGTCACCAGTCGTCGGCACACCAGGTGCACTGTTTGTTGCAGCTGCCTTCCTTGAAAGACGCACTGGACAAACAGATTCTGATCGTTGAGATTGCCGACGTGGGACTGCTGGGATGCTGAGTGTTATCGCGCAAAAAAATGACTGCAATATTGTTTAAATTGTATAATATATATATATAATAATCTTACATATACAATCATATACACTTTCTGTAGCCCTTTTATGGAAACAAATCACTCCATAATATTGCAACTTTGGGTTAAATACATTTAAATACAACATCACATATATATATATATGCATATATATATAATTATATATATATTTATTTATATCCAATAATAGAAAGCAAGATATGGCATAAAACTCCCCTATGGTTATTCCATTCCTACGACAAAAAAGCCTTGGAAGAGGACCGGGCCTTGGATGGGCTGAGCCCTGCTCACGTGGCTGCGTCCATCTTCTGATGAAGCTGCTTGGAGCGCTCCAAAGATATGCCAGTTGGACACTGGTTGTGGATCTTTGTGTGATGAAAACTTATGAAAACCGTGGAAAATGCTGCTTTGACTATCTATGAACAGATGTGGATGTGGATTTTTTAATGGGGCTGGTTGTAGAGTATCTGAATTTCATATAGTCAATGGATATTCATTTGATTCATGATTGATAGTCAATTATTACAATTATTATATGATCCCAATGCCGTAAACCATCTGCAATAGTGGTTCATTCTATTTCTGCTATTGGGTGTATCCCCAAAAATATAAATGATCCCCAGTCTGGGTGACTGGGATGGTTTATGGCATTGGGTTTACCACAGACAAATATATTGATCAAACAGTTGACCATAAATATCCATTAATACCATTGTATTAATACCATTGAAGGGTTTATTGATGGTTTATTGATGGTTTATATATTATATATATATATTATGTGTGTATATAATGGTATATTGATGGTATGCTATTGGGTTCACAACTATAAATAATCAGATGAATATCCATGGAATACTCTCTCCTAATCAAACATAGTTTTCCAGAAAAATCCACCATTTTAGTTCCATGTTTTCCCATTCAAACATCATGTGTATAGGATGTGAACAATTGCCGCCTTTGAAAAAAACGGAGGACGGTTTTTCGTATTTTGATCCATGAAACTGGGAAAACTTAGATATCTTATGGCATGGGGAATACTTTAAATACATCTAGGAACTATTTACATCCTAAATTTGGGGCGAACATGGATCCAGATATATGGTATAATGTTGGCTGCCTGATAGTAATTACCCCCCCCTTTAAGGGGGGGTCAACCTTCCTATATTAATTTTTGGGAATCTATAGCTGGGATCATGATATGTATCTGATAGATTCTCCATGGTTTTGTTGGGTTTCTGTTAGATTCTGCATGTCCAGCAGTGCCCACTGCGCGCAGAAGTTGGCGACGAGATTGGCGAAGAGTTGGCAAGGCGGAAGTGGACATGGAAGTGGGGGCAGAGGTGGTGGAGGCGAAGGAGGAGGACGAGGAGGAGGAGAAGAAGGAGGAGAAGAAGGAGAAGGAGAAGGAGGACAACAAAATTGGAGTTGCGGAAAAAAGTTTCCACTATTGCCATGCCTGGTGCAGGTTTGTTATTGCTATTCTGGGGTTTGCAAAGGGGGTACCCTTTGTGGACCTGTTTTCTTGCTTTTTTTAATAAGGGTTTTATAAGGAAATCAGCTGTTTGGTAATTGGATCAGATTTCTGGAATCTAAGCTTTTGCTAATCAGAAGTGAAGGCTGCTTTGAAAAGGATTTGCTTTACTTGACTCTTTTGGCAATACTAAAAGTAAATAGAGCTAATTGACTTTTAGTATTGGGGAAAAAATTGGAGTTGGAAAAAAACATGTTGGACCCACTATTGGCCATGCCCTCTGGGCAAGGTCTGAACATGACTGTTTTGGCAATACTAAAAGTAAATGGAGCCAATTGACTTTTAGTATTGGAGATAAAACTGGAGTTGCGGACAAATGTTTCTACTATTGACAAGATATCACTATTGGTCAGACAACATTAATGGCAGAAACATTTGTGGATTATATTATGTTCTGGCATGGTATAGATCCCTCGTTTGGCACAAGAGCCAAGCCACCAGGGGGGCGGATCGTCCCAAACAGGGGCTGTTTCAGCGTACCGTCTTCAACCGGTCGGACCCCGAACAAAGGGAAACTATGTATACAACTAGACAATAATGTGGATAAAACTTTTTGTCACTTTGCTGATGCTGCGTAAGATCACGCTCGGCGCATGCAAATCATCACTGGTGGTAATCAGGCTGCACAATTGACTCATCAGTGATGTCCGTGCTGATTAATTCTTGCAGGTCCATTGGCAACACCGGCATACCATTTTGGAAATGCCTTTCAGTCAAAAACCTGGACACTGCAAATGCAAGCGCTCTGTTCATTGCTTCAGGGTAAATTTTGGCCCTGGCAGTATTGAATGAGCCATCTTGCCTAATTCCTTGCAATGGGCGGTGCCCGGATGGATGTGAACATCGACCACCTCGACCTTTCGTGAGCGTCAAGTCCTTGAAGGTGCTCAACCGCAAGAGCATGAGAGTGGTAGGCTTGGTCGCACCAAGCCCGTAGATGCATTGGTCGAATGAACATAGCTGAATGCATTCCAGTCTGGCCAGTGTACGAAGAGATCTGAGCATCCAGATGGACGCCGGTCTCACTCTCATCAGCCAAACTGGGAATTGAGGGTGTTCAAGAAAGCCACAAAGACCCAGTTGTGCTGCCACAACCAAAAGATCAACCAAGAATTGGATTAACTTCGTGCCTGTTGCAACTTGGCTCCATTGCCTACCAGACAATCCTGGAAGCCCCCAAGGAGCATCATACGAACGCACTGGGGCAGGTCCTTCAGGGGCATGACGTGCAGCGGACCATGTTTCGCAACTCGGCCCTCCACCCACACCAATGATGTGCCCTTGTTTCATTTTGGAAATCCAAAACTGCTTGGTATCTTGATCTGTAAGGTCTGAATGCTTCTTGGCCAAACATAGGTCTATTGAGATACAGAAGACATGGCTGGTGCCAACGATCTCATGGCTCTCTATGCAGTGTTGTAAATCGCCTGCTCGTCGAAACCCACTAAAAAAATGGATGAACGTGAAACAGGTGATGTGAAGCCTTGCTGCCTCCGCGGCAAGACCAAACTGCTGGAAAACACCTGCATCTCCTTTCAGCTTGCCTCCATTGGACTGGAGAAGAAACGGGAGTATTTCAACCTCCTCTTTCTGCTTCTCACCAGCTTGTTCACAAAATCCGTCCAAGCCTTCAAATCTGCAACCAGCTTGAGGAATGCGATCACGCCACTTGGCTTGCATGCTGGCTGCCTCTGCTGTTCCACTTCCGGGAAGCAATGGCCCGCAAACTCTCGTGACTGGGAGAAACGCTTTGGACGACAACCATCCTTGGGCACGAAGGTCCCGTGCCCTTTCACGGTCCTCATTTTCAATTTGTTCCACTTCCTCCTCAGGTGCAGGCACAAAACACGCAAAATATGTTTCTCTGCAAACTCGTACGGCATGGATATGCGCAAGTAGCCGCGGTCTGCTGAAAAACTTTTTGCCGCATGCCAAACATTCATCTCCAAGGATGAAATATTTTATCTGAGTACGATATTGATGTTTATGTCTTGCATGGACTGCAAGGGCTTTCCTGGAAGCAAAACTGTCACTGCAGAGATTACACTTCCACTTGCCCTCATTGGGAGTCTTGATGATATCAGGCAACCCTGCATACTTGGACACCTGCAGTTGCAGCTTGCATGTCCAGAGTTTTCCATTCGCATGTGCAACATTGTATCGAAGGCATGATTTGAGAGCAGCCTTGACACGTCCGAGCCATTTCTGGTCGATAGCAATGAAATTGAGCGCATGCGCGGGAGAATTGAAGTCAGGCAGTGTCGACCTCGGCAGAAATTTCCGAATCCACTCATATGAGATCATCAGATTCCTCAACCATGAATGCTCATTTTGGTTTTCATGCAAGAAAGTCCACAATGCAGCTGGCGCTGACTGAATGGCTCTCTTTACATAACGAAGCCTATTAGCATGGAGAATGTCTTGAGGCGCACTCAAGTCAACAAGTGCACAAAGCTCAGCTGTAGAAAGTGAAATGGCGGAACCGGTCGAATGACATGGTGAGCCAACGACGCAACTTGAGCTCTAATCCCGTTTTCCCATTGCACAATATCCTTGTCGGACAGCCAGGCCCATGTGTGGACGTTATAAGTCAGTCTTGACATCACCAGCGCTGCAAAAACTGCACTCTTCGTCTTCACATGGACATTTCTTTTTCCATAAAATTGTCGGCTCAACTGCCCAAAGGCCTTTCTGGCCTGGGCAACTCTGTACCGAAGATCTTTCTGAATCACTGCATGATCTTGCATGTAAGACCCGAGGTGCTTATATGCATGCACAACTTGCAACTGTTGAACCCCATGCTCTGTGACAACAGACAGCTTGCCTCCACATGCATGCCAGACCTTATGCTTGGTGGCTTTTGAGCCAGGTCCAGCAAGTTTCAACAAGGCTTCGGTCTTTCCTGCCTGGTAATTGATCACAAGCCCTCTGGTCGCTGCAGCATCATGCAAACATGAGCAAACGGTTTGAAGGGTGCTGATGACATCATCTGGAGACAACGAATGTAACGCATATGCAATGTCATCTACAAAAGTGATTTCTGCAAATCCACGTGCAGGCACCGGCC